AGAAATGGACAAATTTCTAGACACATATGACCAAAACCAAACCAAGAAGATATTAACCACCTAGACAGATCTATAACACATAATGAAATTGAAGCAGCAATAAAGAGTCTCCACAAAGAGAAAAGTCCAGGACCTGATGGATTCTCCACTGAATTCTACCAGAAATTTAAAGAATTAACACCAGCACTTCCTAAAAATTTTCCATGAACTAGAAAGGGATAGAAAACTGCCAAACTCATTCTATTAACCACATATTACTCTTATCCTAAAACAAAACAAGTACACATCCAAGAAAGAGAATTACAGGCCAATCTCCTTAATGACTATTGATGCAAAAATCCTCAATAAAATAATGGCAAACTGAATCCAACAACATATCAGACCAAGTCTGCTTCATCCCAGGGATGCAAGGATGGTTCAACATACATAAATCATTAAATGTAATACAGAATATTAACAAAAGCAAAGACAAAAACCACATGATCATCTCAATAGATGCAGAAAAAGCCTTCAATAAAATTCAACACCATGTCATGCTAAAAAGCTCTGTTGAAACTGGGAATAGAAGGAATGTACATCAATATAATAAAAGATATATATGACAAACCTGTAGCCAACATCAAACTTAACGGGGAAAAACTGAAACCATATCCCTTAAAGTCAGGAATGACACAAGGGTGCCCACTCTCTCCACTCCCTTTCAACATAGTCGTGGAATTCCTAGCCAGAGAAATAAGGCAGGAAGAAGAAATAAAAAGAATACAAATAAGTGATGAAGAAGTCAAACTATCTCTATTTGCAGATGACATGATCTTATACCTAAACGATCCAAAAACTCCTAGGCACCATAAACAGCTTCAGCAATGTAGCAGGATACAAAGCCAACTTACAAAAATCAGTAGCCTTTCTGTACACCAACAATGAACAAATTGAGAAAGAACATAGGAAAATAATTCCATCTACAATAGCCTCAAAAAATCAAATACCTATGAATAACCTTAACAAAAGATATAAATGACCTCTATAAGGAAAACTACAAACCACTGAAGAAAGAAATCAAAGAAGATTACAGAAGGTGGAGAGATCTCCCATGCTCATGGATTGGCAGAATCAACATTGTAAAAATGTCTATACTACCAAAAGCAATCTACATGTTCCACACAATTCCCATCAAAATCACAATGATACTCATCACAGAGATTGAAAAATCTACTCTGAAGTTCATTTGGAAACACAAGAGACCATGAATAGATAAGGCAATACTGAGCAAAAAGAGCAATGCTGGAGGTATCACAATACCTGACTTCAAACTACACTACACCCCTTTGAACAACAACTTAAATATTAATAATGAAAACCAACACTGTAAAATAGGTACAGTGTGGGGTGGCACTAGTAGTAGTGGACAGAGTGAAGGAAGGAGATTAAGGTGATGGTATATGGTAGATAGACTTCATATATGAAACAGAACTAAGAAACCTTGAAGGTGAGATACAATGGCAGCATGTAAGTAACTTAAAATATATGTCCAATCGGAATTGTTACTATGAATCTCCTCTCTGTATAATAAATATATCCTAATAAAAATTTACATGTAAAAAAAGCCAACACCTTGAAAGTGAGACAAGGGCTTAAGTGGTTTAAAATGTTAGATATAGAATTTCAGAGAAACAGCTGCCCTGACATGACTCTTTAGACTGTGGCTGTGGCAAGCATGGGTTTCCTGAGTTTGAAAAATAATACTTCAAAGCTTTCTCATTTGAGCCCCTTTTTGCCCCAAACAGGATGGTACTTTCTCTAAGTTAGAGTACATACATGAGAAGAGTAACCTTTGCTTCATTATCACAGTAAAACACACAATGCACAGATGGAGATTCAAGACACTAATGAGGCATGCAGTGTATGAAGTAGTGTGACAAGTTTCTGTGCAGACGTTGCCCTTGCCTTTTCTCTACAAGTGATATCAAGGACAGAGGATGGCACCACTAGCTGAGGAAAGGATAAGAAATTGGAAATGGGGGAGGTTGTAGGAACCTGCTTTCCAAGTCTTTCAGGTAGTCTTCTTTGTGCTGAAAAATAAGAACATGTCTCTGGCTAATTCTTCTAGCACAGGGCACAAACATCTACTGGTGTTTAACAAAGGCACAGCCTTTTTGCTCCATTATACCCACAACACCTCCATGGGTAACCAGTACTTCAACTTCTAACACCTGCACTTAGTTATCCCTGGTTTTGATGTTTTATAATTTGAGTAACACAGCATGCATTCTTTTGTGTTTGGTATCCTTTAAGTATTATTGTATTGCATGCCTAGGTAACACACAACCTGAAAATTCAGGGATTAAATTAAATTAAATTGATGTCCTTTTTCGTTTGTGAGTCAGCGAGGCTTCAGAATGATGAAAAGAGGCCAATTATAAGGAAATCTTAAAGTTCAAGGACTATGCCAGGTGTTTCTTGTTGTTTTTAATTGGCCACTCTGTTTTGAATTGCTAAAGTCGCCTGAAGAGGAAGTCTAGAATCAGCTACAATTCTGACTTCATGGGGCCATAGATAGCTCAGTTAGTTCATGGCTACATTTCCATCAGTGCCTGCAGTGTAGTATATATTCAATACATATTTGTTAAATAAATATATATTTTGAGATAGAATACATTTTCAAATGTATTATGAAAGTTATTCCTGGGGATGCCAAAATGTCTGGATTTTGATTCTGGGTTGAGATAATAATACTATGATTTAAGATACACTACTTAGAATCTAAACTCTGTTGACAAACCCTAACAGCAGTTTCTTTCTTTGTTTTTAATTTGATGGAACTGAGTTTTTGTGTTTGCAGAATTGGTGCTCTACCATTTGAGCCATACTTCCAGTCCAAGATTTGTTTCTTTACTAATGTCTTGCAACTAGCTTAATCACATTGATAAGTCTTTTTTGACTACCCAATGGAATAGTGAGAGTTACTTGCATAGACCTGAGCAGTTCAGGTCAGAAATTAGCATGCCCCATTTGTCTGGTTTGGGCTATGAAGAGATTATAGTATGAATATCTTCCATTCTTGCCAGCTCCCTCTCTTGTCACATTTTACCCTGTGCTTTTAGATTAAAGCCATATGCGAATATACTCTACGGTATTTGTAGAGGCTTTCCATGTACCCAAACTAGCAAAAATTATAGACTCTGACTTAGGCACTCTAATTGAGAACAGAGAAGACATAAGTTGGTACAAAGGCTTTGTACTAATTTCTTGAACTAAATGTCTTCCAAATAGAAAAATAAAAATATTTGAAAGATAAATTCTCCATTTACTAGGTCAACTAAAATAAGTCTTATAAAATGTTTTATTGATTATAATTAAAAGGTAAATATTTGTGTTGTATGTATATGGTGCATTTATTAGCAAAAATTGTAACATTTTCCCAATCATTTCAGTTCTAAAGCAAAAATACTGAGATAGCATAACTTACTGGTAATAACTAAATTTTCTAATTGAGACATAATATTGCATTGGTAAAGATAATCTTTACTAATAAAAAAAGAAGGAAGCTATTCATGTAGATCTTACCAGAGTTTTATAACTCTAGAAAAAGTATATGGGGCTAGTGATGCATCTCAGTGGTATAGATCACTTGCCTAACATATGTAAAGCCCTGGGTTTGGTGACAACAAAAAATGTACATGTCTATATGTATGTAGATTATAGAAATTTATTTATTATATAAAATTAAAATTGTGTATTCCTCATAATATACATACATACATTCTATGTAAACTTCAGTACACCTTGTGTATTATATATACATGTGTGTGTGTGCATATATATATATATATACATACATATATGTAAGTTAAGGCACTTGCATGCCTTGTTATGACCACAGATTTTATGACTTCAGAGCTAGAGGTAAAAATGGGAATGGTTTCATTACTATCCACCATCTTAAACCAAATTTTAGAGAAAATGCTAGGTTGAAAAAAATAAACTACCAAAAGTGATCAGTAAGAGGCAAAGCACTTTGGTAAGGGTAGCAGGGCTAAGAAACCTCATCAGATGACACTGTGTGGAGCCTGAGCGAACCCACACCGTGGATCTCTTTTTCTTTTTTAATAGTGTTGATTGAGGTCAGGGTCTCACTCTTGCTAGGCAAGTGCTCTATACTTGAACTACACCTGCAGCCCTTTTGTTTGTATTATATCTTTGAGATAGGTTCATGCTTACTTTGCCAGGGTTGGCCTCACCAACCTGTGATCTTTGTGCCTCCACCTCCCAAGTAGCTGGGATTATAGGTGAGTACCACTGCACCTAGCTACTGTGCCTCTCCTTCTCTTGGTGTGCAGCCCCTTCTGGCCAAGCTGAAGCATTCATTCCAGAGATGAGGGGAGCTAAGGACAGTAACTGCTGAACCTATATTTGGAGCTTGAAGAGGATTAAAATAAGCTGTCCTGACATTTTCAAAGGAAAACACCATTCTGGGTTAAAATTGACAATAACCACAGAGAACTTTCTGAAGTGCCTCCTCCATTGAAAAGTCTATACTTATTGAATATATTTTTAAAAAATCTAGTATGGAACTTGATCACAGAGTAGTCACGAGATTAATTTTGAGCTCATTATTGAATGGAGCATCTTGGGACTACATTTTTCTCTGTGAATGATAAGAATAAAAAGTTATAAGAATTTTATTATATAAGCTGACATTGGCAGATATATATATATTTTTTGCAAACTTTTGAGACTCAATATATGACAGTCGATGTACTAGTGCTCTACCTATGAGTTAGTAATGTTATTATTCTTTTACTGAGAAGAAATATAAAGCACAAAGAAATTTTGTAGTATGCCCATGAATATAAAAGTAGCATATGAGAGGGATGGTACTTTTCATGATGAAAACCCAAGGTCAATTGCATAGAAAGTTCCATTCTTCACGTTACTGTATTTCCTGACATCATTACTTAGTCTACTTAATCTGATATTGCATCTGAATGGGAAGTAGGTAGCACTTTAATATACTGCTTCAAATTTTATTTTATTTTTGATTTTTAATAAAAAGTAAATATTTTAGTATGTGTTTCATACATATCATGTACTGCACACTTACAGATATGACACTGGATACAAAGTTTGATTAAGAGTCTTACTCAGTAGAAAGTAGCAGAAGACACAAAAACAGAGAGAGAGGAAGAGAGAGAGAGCACTGAGTATTTCTGATACTTTATACGGAATAAGGAAAGAAATACGAAAAGATGGAGGAAAACCCATGAAACTAAACTTTTTGAAAGAAAAAAAGTAAAAATGTGCACCTAAGAAGCAAAAAAAAAAAAAATGAAAGGAACATTAGACAAGGAAACAGAAATATGTAATCTGCATGGAAAACTCATTTCAGTAACTCCTTTTGCCCACTGCTGTGAAAACTTCTCTGCAAGTGTAGCTCCCTTATATAAAATCCTGAGGGTGAGTAAAATATTTTTCAAATGCTGTTGAAGAATTATATGCATGATTTATTTATTTTGCTCCTGATACTCTAAGAGCCAATGGAATGAGTTCCCAAGTTTCATCAGAACATGATTGCCAATTTACAAGCCACCCCCCACCCCGCCGACCTATACACACAGATCAGAGTTGGATTATAGTACTTTCTCAAGTAAAGTGTTTGCATTAAAATCGGGAAAGATTTTCAGGAACATTTTTTTCTTGATCTGGTGGTGGCACCAAATCTTCTTAAAATGGTGCAGGAGCAGCTGTTTCTGCCATGTGAGGATTTGATGGCACTATTAACACAACCTGTAAAATCAATCAGAATGCCATAGGATCACCAAATATCCTTAGGATTTCCTTTATCTACCCACATATTGTCATCATTACCACAGTCTACACTTTCATCTCTGAATTGAATCTCAAGATAAATATTCAGGCTATTCAGACACTCCTCAAATCAAGCTAAATCTAGTTAGTCCACATTCAGTGGTTGATCTGACCTGAGATTCCCATGGCTATGGCTGAGTATTAGAGTGGACGGATTTTACATGTGGATAATGGAGCCCAGTGAGCTGGGTAAACCAAGATGTTATGGGAAATGCAGAGCTGCTTTTCTAAAATAGTGTGCACTGCTAGTGGTAGCAGCAGATCCAAATCATGGTTTTCTGGGCACAAATAAAGCACTGAAAAAAACAAAACAAAACACTGGCCCAAAATGGCAGGTGTCAAGAAAGTAAGGAAAATTCTGGTCCTTCTTCCACAGACTCACATGGCATAGAGTTGGTTAGTGGTAGATTAAGGAAGACATAAACTTGTATTACATGCTTCCAGGCCACTGCTCTTCTCCATTTACATAGGAGATTAGCAGGAGCAACATTTCTCAGCTCTGTAACTACTCTAGAGCAGATATGAAGATTATTAAGAAATTTGCTCTCATGCACAAATGCTTCACTCAATGAAGATATAAAATGTTTGAAAATTTCTGAGACACACTTCTAATGCCTTAATAATGTAAAACCCAATAATATGGTAATGTGATTTAGTATAATTCTTTTCTATTGGCCAGAACCTGTGGGAATGTGAGATGTGATGTTGCTTGAGATATGCCAAAGAAGGCAAAGAGGTGTAAAAGATATAAGTGACCACCCAACAATCTCATATTATTATCATTTAATTAGTTGACTATGAGTTGTGTCTGCTCCAGAGCTTTTGGGTAATGAAGCTAAATGAGTAGCTGTCGGGGTTTCACTAGCTACTTCCCCACTCTGGAACTCTCAATGCATTGAGGATACACCTGCCATGTTCTTCACAGGTCCTCTTTTAGTCATCTCTTCTCTCCTTGCATTTCCTACTTCCTTCTCTCTGTATATGAGATTCTTCCTGCATGATAGCCAGAAGGATCTGCTGCAAGTTTTGGGGTAAGACAATGGCCAAGTGTGCATAAACTGATAGAGAAGTTTCATCCTGACATTTCTTCAGTAGCTCAAGGAAGTTTACTATAATAAATAATGGAGAAAAATCAAGGGGATAAGAATGGAAAAATAGCTTTTCTTCAGCCATTATGGTAGGCAGAATTCTAAGATGACACTTGGTGGTGACATAGCTTCTTGTGACATTCTTCCCACTGAGAGTGAATGGGACCTTTGGGTATGTTGAGGTATCACTTCTGTGAGTAGATTACAAATCAGTTTACTTTAAGTGTGCCAATAAAGGCATTCCAGATGAACCAACCAAATGATGTGAGCCTTTTCAAAAAGTATGAAAGAACCTGAGAGCTTTGCTTTCCTACATTCTTGAAAGAAGTACCCTGTCATGAATTTTAAATCTGAGAGGAAATGAATTCAGCCCTACAGGAACAGAATCTTCAGATAAGACCGTATCTCAGCCCTACTGTAAGAATTTGAGCAGAAGACCCTTAGCTAAATTGTGCTCAGAATCTTAATCCATAAAACTCAAAGATAATAAACATTTCTTGTGTTAAGCCTCCAAGATCTTTGTAATTACACAGCAACTGAAAACTACTAGAGAAATCTTCAAATGAAGGCAAATACTCACCCCACCAGGGTTACAACAGGTTACTTTGCATCCGAAGGCAGACAATGACACAGCAATGCAAAATTCCAGTATACTTAAAATGAGCACTATACCATCCAAACCCTAAAAACATATATGTAACAAAAGAATGAAAGAAATGGAAATCACACAATCAAAATATTTACTAATTACCATGCCCAAAGAGAATGACCAGGACTCTGGGAATGTGGCTCCTAATACATCACCCTTTTTAGTCAGTTTTGCCCTATTAAATGTCACTTATTCACTCACTTTCAGAAAAATATATCACATATTGTATTGTAAGCTGCAATGAAACTACAATTGTCCTAGGTCAACTGTAGTTAATCACTGGCAATTTCAGTTCAGTGATTCCAGGTAATATGCTAAGTGCTCTTTCGTTTACTGAAATCTCATTTTCTTACCTGTTTTTATAACTATACACTTTGTAATATGTATTTTTCTCCCAAGAGGACTGGATCTTCTTGAAGTTAGAGGGCTGTTCTCCTTCTTATGTCAACCATATTGCCAACTATAAGACTGGCATAAAATATGGACGTCTAGATCTGTGGACTCACCATGGAGCTGCCAAGATAGAGATAAGCCTGACACCTCAGCTCTAAGGAAGCTTTTATGAGCATTCTCCACTATAAGTCAACAGGACAGAAAGGCTCACACAGTTACCAGCAGTTCCTCATCATGGCCTCGGGAAGTGGGCAACTGAGATGAACGGAGATAAAGCTATATAATTACAGGGTCTCTTGTTTTAAAAAAGATATTAATAATCTCAAGATAGCAACAGCATTGCTTTAAACCAGACTTTTTAGAATTCTTCTAAGTATGAAGTGCTCTGAGAACACACAGGTCCTGTGCCAGCCCTATGAAGCTAATCGATATCAGAGTTTTAACCCCATCCTATGCATGCACTGCTATAGTCTGTGAGTGGACGATCTTCAGAAACAGAAAGTTATCTTGTGCTTCAGGATTACTACGCAGAACAAACTTGAGGACAGTGAATTAGAGGCAGGAAGTGCCAGAATCTACTCTTGCATTTGCAAATTTCTCAGGGACTTTGAAAAAACATTAAGTTCCCTGAAAAACTTTTCTTATCTTAATTGTAATGAATAGGAAGAAATATAATTGTTTACTTTAAAAAGTGTTAGAAAACTCAAAGAATAAATTAGGTTACCAAAGACCCTCAAGGGATTGTTTTGGTGCTAATAAGTAGTCCTTAAGACCTATGCAGGATTAATTAGGAATGAAGTAAGTACAATGTACTTGACTCTGCATTATTAAGTTAGATGGAATGTTGAGTCTGCATATTTACTTGAGAAAAAACTATGAATGAAATAATTAAACAACAAGGTGAAAATCTGGAGGTCATATGGGATAGATACCAGAAATTGTGGCCATGTTAAGAATGGACAATAAAAATATTAATAGTAAATTTTTTTTACATTCTTATTTGTAGTTTTCTTTTTGTTGTTGTTTTGTTTTGTTTTGCCTTTTAATTTTTTTTCTTGAAAAGAAAATCAGAGGAATTTATATGACAAACTATCAGTGTTAGGATGGCAAGGGAAAAAGAGAAAGGCCAGAGGCATGGCAAGATAATAAAAAGCAGGTTCTGAATCACATGACATGGTCCACAGGGCCAGGGCCAGATCCACATGAGATGACTATTCACTTTGGCATGCATGTTTGGTGCCTTGTCTTCTGGTCTGCTTATTCAGATGCTCATGGTCAGGGAGAGCTGGCCATATCTCAGAAACATGCCAGTGGCAAGCTCAGGACTTTACAGAAAAACGGACTTAATTTTGCTCCTTGGCTTTGTGCTCGGGTATCACATAGCAGCCTTTCTTGCCTTAGAGAAGGGTCTAGAAGAGTAGGAGAGTCTCCTTAGGACACACTTTGGCATCACATCACTTGTGTGCAGACATGGCCTTCACCCACACAGTCATCCATGCAGACCTCCCCCATCAATCTGGACAAAGAAGGATGGGTACATGATAGCCTCCTTGTAGGCTCAGGTCAATGGCTGTATCCATTCTCCATTCTTTCTCCAACTGCCTATCACCATAAACACAGGAGGTGATTGGAGTCTGTCTCTTTTTACTACACACTGTTTCCAAAGAAGCTAGTATAGCTTGGCCATCTGGGTCCACAAAGAAGATGTCTCAAGTTTCACCTACTTTATGCCTCAAATGTCAGGGCAGAAAATGCAGCTAGACTGAGAGAAAATGGGGTAGCCAGAGTGATGACCAGGCAAGAATGAGCCAGTAGCACACTGTAAGAGCAAAGTACATTCCAGAAGGGAAGAGGGGCATGCAGCAAGTTGTAGCCCCAAGTATCAGTCTAGGGGACACATTGAGTCTGAAGGCCACTGCCAGACCTGTCAGTCTGTCAGGATTGTCTTGATACCAATCTTATGGGCCACTGGTTGGCATTCCTACGTGGAGAGTGGAGACTCCTGCCCTGCTTGACTCCTGTTCCTGAGCTGAGGCCAGGTTATATCTCAGTACCCCAGTCCTGAGGAGCACCATGCTGGCCAGCCAGCCAGGCCATAGTCCTCAGCCCTTTGGGAGCCACAAGGCTCTGGTTTCACAGGAAGGCCCTAGGGAGCTGCAGTGACTGGGAGGAAGGAACCATGACAAAGAGGCTGCATTCTTCTGGGGGAGACTCTGGGAGGGGTGGCCAGGAGCTCGAAAGGAGCTATGGTCCAAATATTGCAGAGCGACAGGGGGTGGGATACATTTCTGAAAAATGACAATAAACTTGTATCTATTTTAAAAAGATAATATAGTTACTGTTGCCTGGTTCTGTTTTTCCTTTTAAAATCACTCATTTTAAAAAATGAAGGGATGAAGAGATTGAGTCTCCTTCACTCTGATTCTGTAGAGGCACCAGGAGGCCTCACTATCCTGCCCAGTTCTGCTCTGCAGCCTGACTCCAATCACACAAAGCCACGGCAGGGTGGGGAAAGTATGGCTCTTCTCCCCAAAAGGAATTTCTTCTTCCCAGAAAATCAGAAAACATGTAAGGAAAAGCCAGAAGACTAAAGTACAAGAATCCATCAAGTGCACAGCCTGAGTCTGGGACACTCCAAGAAGGAATGAGGGGTCAGCCCAGAGTTATAGGTGTGGAACAAATGCTGAGCTTGGTGAAGTGAGCCTGTAGGGCACAGTTCCCTTTCCCTTGTGCCTTGGTGACACTTCTCTCTAGGACTTTCCACTACCAGCAGCAACCCAAGAAAATTCCCAGTCCCAAAGCCCTGACCCATGAGGGAAGGAAATTTGTCTGATCCTCCCCGATGAATAATGACTAGTGACCAGGAAGGGAACAGAGGATAGCACGAGGGGAAGAATGTGTTACATAAAATCGTTGAATCCAGGCTTTCAGGTGCAGGGACACATGGACAACCCTAAAGACAATCTTTCCTGGGAAAGGTTTCATGAAGGTGGTCCTAGTGGTGAGGCCTGCTGGGGAAAAGACCTCTGCTGAGTGTGAGAAGAGCTGTGACTCAGGGGAAGGGGCTGTCAAGGAGGAAAGTCTGGCTGGTATTAGAGTATGTGTGTGTGGGGGGGGGTGGCTAGAATTGGTTGATGACCTCATACTCTGCAGGGTAGGGCTCATTTTCCTCCATCTCAGACAGCAGCTCCAGGGCCTGCTCTACTTCCTGTGTAGGGCAGTGGCCAGGATTGAGGCTCCACCAGTTCCTGCCACCAGGCAGAGGCTAACAGCAAAGATGATGTAGACCTGGGAGCCATGGTACTTCTTATATTGCTGCTTCTGGACCAGGATGAGTTCAGAAGCCCAGAAGAAAAGCCAATGACTGTGGCACACTGCAGGACAGTGAAGATACGCGTGAAGGCATAGCGCCAGTGATCGTCAGGGCTGGAAGTTTGGGCTGAAGACATCCAGAAAGAATGCAAAGAGACTATACTGGACACCCAGGAAGAAGGCAGCAATGACCCGCAGGAGCAGCACTGTCTGGGGGTTCACTCAGAAATCTCTCAGCAGGTCCGGGTGCATATAAGCCAGCACGTCATAGATTCCCAGCTCCCGGCAGGAACAGGTGCGTCCGTGGATATGCAAACAGGCGGTCTCAGCGAGGGCTGTGCATAGCTCCATGGTGGACAGGGCACCAGGCAGGACCAAAGCCAGACTATGCTAGGACTGCTTGGGCAGAACACTGCCTCCCGGGCTCCTCCGTCGGTGCCCACCGGGCAGCCCAGCACCTTCGGAGGACACACATGTCCAGGGCCGCCCGCTGTCACTCTGTTGTCGCTGCTGGTCACCAGGGAACTCCTCCACCGCACAGAGCCTGCGCGGGTCAGCAGACCTCAGGGCAGGAATGGCACTGTTCCCCCACATCACGGGCTTCTCAACTCTCCGAGACCAAGTGATCCCAGGCCCCAATCCCGCACAGCCCAGACCACCCAGCTTCCCAGTAGTAAATATTTAATTAAGCATTTTACCTATGATGTGCTACAATAACTTTTTCTTTTGCAAATTCCCAAAGACAAAAACTTGAAGTTTTACCGCCTACAAATTAAAGTAGCAAAATGTAGAGTAGACACAGAATTTGCCAAAAGCTAGGTGTCAGTAGCGTCAAAGTGGTTAGCCTGCAAAAAATATCTGAGGGTGTGAGAAGACCACTGGGTTTCTCACCACTTCTAACATAATGTTCAAGACAATTTCACTTATTATTAGAGAGCCATGGGTCAGGAAGCTCTGAGGCATAGAATGAATGCTCTCTATTTTTAGAAAGGATAACAGTGCCTATTGACCAGTGTTTTAAAAATAAACAAGAAAAATGATGCAAAAATGCCCAACATAGCAACTACTAAGAATTAAGTGTTCTATAACTAGGAACCTTCTTCCAATTTGGTCTCGTCATATATAGACAAGAAAAAAGGAGAAACAATATAAATCTAACTCCTAAAGAAAAGATTGGTCTACTGCTCAATCTCTTCCAGCTTCCCAAATTGATTCAGCAATTATAAAAAAGTGATTGTTGCTTTTGTCACAGCCAGTGCTCAATAGACTTGCTTCTACCATAGCATCCCATGAAAAGAAGAAGCACCTACCAGTAAGATATATTTGGTCATGGAACAACTTTCTAAGTTATAATTACAGCTGTAGAAATAGTGATTTAAGGAGAAAATGCTCAAGCTGAGTGTAGTTATTATGATCCCTGCCATGGCCAACACAGAGCTGGTGATGTTCAGGCCCAGACTGCCTTGAACCTAGAAAGGAATAAAAATCAATGAAAAAATTCAACAGGATCCTCAGATGTATTTCCATCTAACATGTCAAACCCTTCATTTCTTTCCCAATATGTTTTATCCTCTCTATCTTGGTTATTTCCATAGTGTCCTAACTTGTCTCATTCCTTATAATAATTTCTATTCAATATCTTGCTAAAATAAGTATATGATCTTGTAATTTTCCAGATTAAATCCCTCAGATAACTACCCTGAGCACAAGAGAAAAGCTCCAAATTTCCAAGCAGAGATTTCAGTGCTGTAGCTAGACAGTGCTATCCATCCATCCATCTCCTAACATGCCCCGCTGCAGGTTCTGAACACTCATTGTTTGCTAAATGATACTTGCTACTCATGCCTCTATTCCTTTTGCACATTAGCTCTCTCTGTTGTGTGTTACTTTCTGTACATTGTCTTCTCATTGTAAAAGTATGTTAACTTTTCATAAGAACTAAAATTGCTTAGGAAAATGTATGAGTTTTTAATGGCAGCAATTGAAGTTGATGCAGGAAAGCAGACTGGAGTCTAGATTTAGAATCACCCTGTGTATTACACTCCAGAGTTTGATTCTTATCTTTGAAGCAAAGAAGACTCAAATATGGTCTTTAGCATGTACAGTGTTTGTAAGATCTTGGCTTTTGCCTTTTTTTGACTTTGTGACAGATATCCTGATGTAAGGGTGAGGTGTCAAGTTTGCTTCTTTCTGAGTTAGCTCACCGTGAGCTTCTCAAAAATCCTTTCTGTATGCAATTTGAATACACATTTTAATCAATCAGCCAATAAATATTGTGCCACTACAGTACCTGATGTCATTGTCATAGACTGTATCTCAAACTTTTTGGTTGGACTGACCCCACTTGACATTTCTTCCCCAGAATTCTCTGTATCTGCACAAAGTTTCTCTCAGTAACTACCTTCACACAATATTCAGTCCCATGTGAGGAACCCTATTACCAGCTAACTGTTTAACTACAATTTTGGGAAGACAGAAACTTCTAGGTCAAACACACAAGTTCTCTTGATTTTTTAAATGCAAAGATTACACCCTAACATAACACATGCAATGCATATTTGGTTAAATCCTTTCCTTTTTAATACCAAAATAAAATAAATATTACTCACCAGACCCCTTGTAGTTCTTATTCCTGCTGCAATGGATAAGGATCCTGAAATAATAAACTAGTAATAAGAGGAAAATGTCATATTTTAAAAGTTTAAACAATTATTGGAAATCATAATGCTACTAAAATTTACTCCTAAACTGTATTTGTATGTTAAACAGAAAAATTATCTTAAAAGAAGCACAGCAGTTTGCAAAGTACTTTTTCCTTTTCCCAGAAAGAATAGAGGAATTCTAGCACAAAGATCTCTAGGAGAATTTATCAAATTTCCTAAGACAAATCTAACAGGTGATGGATGGCCATGACAGATAAATCTTCCAAATTCCTAAAATGAAGTGTTGCTAATGTGGCACCAAGATTGAATAAGGTATTCAAACAAAAGAAACTAAAATTATTCTAAGTAAAATGCCTACTAAATGTTATAAATAAAATGATTATAAAGGAGAAATTTAAATTGTATTAGATATGATTAAAATTTATTTGGTTCCATAGATTTGGCAATTACTTTCCATTTGGCTAAAATGGCTGGCATCAATTTGATTGGAATCACCTCCTTATACTCTTCAACTCTATAGATTTCTGAGTTTGCTTTCCAAATTTGATTTTGGAGGTTTAAAAATTATGTCTTGATACCATAATGACCGAACTAATGAAAAAGCTGGAAATTTTCCATCTGTGTGTTAAACATTTCTAAATTCCAAGACATGAAGATTCATGTAAATTAAATCACCTTTGGAAAAAGAGCAACAGATGAAATCATCCATTATATACTCTGAAATAAATCATGAACATTTGGGGTTATCCTTGAAATGGTGTTATGCTTGGATTTTGAGGGTCCCTCCAAAGCCCATGTGTTAAAGGCACTTGGTCTTCACTCTGTACTATTGGGTTGTAGTGGTACCTTTTAGAGGTGGAGCCTAGTGAGAGGCCTCTGAGTCATGATGGTATTCCCAAGACAGAGAGAGTGGGACCGCCTCATCTGTCTCCTCCTCATCTAGCACTTTGGTTTCCCAACCATGAGGTGAGAAGCTTTGTCAAGGCCATGCTTTAACCTTGATGTACTGTCTCACCTTATGCCAAAAACAATGGGCCAAAAAATCAAGGATTGAAACCTCCAAAACTGTAAACCAAAATCATTCTTTTCTCTTTATAACTTCACTATCAATCAGGATTTTTTATAATAATGGATAGCCAATTAATACAAATGTATAAATATTTGTAATAAGAGAAATATCATTATAATTTGTAAGATCAATGGAGTTATGGAAAAATCATACTGTAATTGCTATATTTATTTTCAATGCTGCTGAGATACTTAATAATTCAAAATTACTATTCAGTTAAACATGATTGATAAGATATAAAGAATTGTATTTTCCATAACACAATAGAATATGTTTTAATGTCATGGATAATGGAGAAACACTTAAGGTCACTTTTTAAAATTAAAATACATCTTGAGCGATTTACATAAACCCTCTAAGACTCAATATTTGTATCTATGCAACGATGATTTCAAACTTTCCCTCAGCAGTTTGTGGAGACTGAGGTGGAATTACATATATCTAGACAATCTTTCGTAGGCGCTTGGATCATAGTAAGTGTTTAATAAAAGCTATTACTGGCATTAGTATCATGAGGTATAGAAAGTTCTATGCAACTCCCAAAAGTAGATCATCATGTTTTATCCTTCAGATATTAAACTTCTGCTGTAAAGAGAAGAGGGAAACAACAAACAAGACTATATAAAACTCTAAACCATCTCATTCTCAACCTTAGAGGTAAGTGGAAAGGAAACTCTGAAACACTTGAATAGGTTCCATATTCTAACATCATTCCATCTGTAAATTTTATTTTCTTCACCAGTAGATAAAACTTAATGTTTTGAACTGAATTTACACTGATAATTAGCAGAAAAATCCTCTTTTGATTTCTCTTAGACTTTCTACACATTCATAGTTCCAATTTTAATTTAATTTTATTTATTGTGTGAAAATAAAAAGAATGTTCTATACCAATTAAAACTTACAGAATTTTAAAAAGTTTTTTCAATACATAAACAAGCCAAGGAATACTCAATTATAAAATAATCATTTGATACATAATAATACAAAAATGGCTTAAAAATTGACTCATTAGTTTATGACTATATCAATTTCAACAGTAACTAATTTTCTTAAGCATTTAATCATAAAGTTTCTGGAAGACAGGGTAATTGATGAAAAATTGGGCAACCATAAACATACTCTTTAATTTAATTTCCAAACTGTTGCTTCATTTTATAGAGAATATGTTAGATGTCCTCTTTTGATAAGTATATGTGGAGCTATGTATATAGATGCATTTTCTAGGACAACCATTTTCTGAGAGTTGATGAGCTAGATACTATAAATTGTCTGTGTATCAGCCATGTCTTCTCCTCTTTCTTGCCAACAAAACCCTGATTGTGTTTACTTCAGAGCAGGGTGAACTCTTCCCAGCAAGAGAAATTAATTTTGTTTAGTCCAAATTAAAAGTAGCAATTCCATTATTCTTGCTTACACTTGGTTTGACAGTATGCATTTAAAACTTTTATGATCAATGAGATAAGAAAACAAGTCAGATCTCCTCTGCCAGCAGTCCTCAGTGAAAATCCTTTCACCACTGAATTAATCAACCCTGGAAGTCACAGCCACCGGACTTCTTGTGAGGGGATCAAAGCTATCAGTGTTTAAGTCATTTTGTTGGAGTCTAACACTAGATGCAGCCACAATATATATTAATTTCATATATCAAATGATTAGTCTACCTAATTTCTGTGAGTTTTATGTTGATATTGCCATTTAAATATGAGAGAACAGTAGTTATAGAAGAACATGATAGAGTTAGGATATGATTTCTCTAAAACTCTGGTTATTGACAATATTATATCATCAACACTACGTCAGAAGTTAGGCTACTCACCATCAGTGACCCCCAGATTGGATACCCTATGTACACTGAAACAGGATACATTCCGTAATATGGCACTATGGCACATATCATTACTATTCCTATGCTGAGGTTCATAAGGGCAATAATAATTTGCACAACCTAGAAATTAAAAAGAAAGTAAAAACAGATTACCTGCCACAAAATGGTGTCTCTGTTACCTTTCACTCAACCACTAAGTTGTCCTCATTTTCTCTCTTTTGATATAGTTAGATGAAATTCTGGATGTTTTTTACTTTAAAAAAAGCATGAAGAACTGTGTGGATACAATAACATACCAAAAGCATCCCTCAGAAAATCTATCATTATCCTAGTAATTGCAAGGTTAGAAGGAATATGCCAAATCCTGCCCAGGGTGCTTTTCTGATACCTATGATGCTACTTCTACCTCAACTGTTTTTCTCATTTGCCAATGCTCACATAAGATTGATCCAAGAATTAGCAAGCAGTTGTCCTACCAAGGGGAAGTAACTTGAAGAAAGAAAATTAGATACAGGATGAAGAAAAATGAAGAGCAAATATAACCTTCCCTTGGGCTCTGGGCCTGTGGGAAAAGTATGAATACAGCAGCCTCCAAATAGAGGAATTGGAGTACATATGCCTCTAAGGCATTAAAAAGGATTCAAAGATAATGAAAACAACTTATCAAAACTTGTGAGATGCAGTGAAAGCAGGGCTTAGAGGGGAAAGATTAGGATTGGATGCAGGTATAAGAAAAGATGAAAGACCTAAAATCAATTACCTAAGTTTTCATCTTAGAAAACTAGAAAAAGAACAGAAAATTAAATCTAATGAAAAATAAATATTAGAGAATAAATTAATGAAATTCAAAACAGACACAAACAACAAAATCTAAAAATATTTTTTCTTTAAAGATAAATAATAAAGTAAGTTAAGTGCCAAGATAAAAGAAAGGCAAGGCTATGCCCTAACCATTCCTTTCTACATTTGCACTAGAGTTTCTAGAAAAATCTCTAAGAAAACAAAAAGATATGAAGTGTACATATTTGTAAGGAAGTAAAAAAATTGATTTGTTCATAGATGACATGATTGTCTATGTAGTATGTCAGTGGTAAACAAAAACACAATTGGCATAAGAAATTATAGTGGGTCTGAAGGACACAAAGTAAATACAGAGGCAGCAACATATTCCCCATATGCTGTAATAAGTGGAAACTGAATTAAAAACACAATGCCTATTAAATTACTAATCTTAAAAATGATGTGCTGTGTATTTATATTTATTGCTAAGTATAAATATACCAAATTATGTACAAAATCTATAAGGAAAATTAAGACTCTGAAGACATAAATCAATGAACTAAGGAAATGAGATAGTCTATTCCATGTTCAGGGATAGGAAGAGTTAATATTTAGAAGACATCATTTCTTCCTAACTTCATCTATATATTCAATGAAATCCCTATCAAAATGCCAATAAGTGATTTTGTGGGTATCAAAAAATCAGTTTTAAATCTTAAAGGGAAAGGTATAAGACAGAATAGAAAGCACAATATTTAGGGACACAACTGGAAGACAGAAACAGAAGAAGCAATTATAGTGGCAAAGATAGAAAAACAGAACAATGGAAGAAAATAGACAGCCTAAAACAGACACACATAAATGTAGTAAAATGATCTTCAATGAAAACGTGAAAGGAAATACAATGGAGAAAAAAAGTAATGCTGGAAAAGGTTAAAATCTACACAAAACAACTGAATTAAACACAGACCTTTTATCCTTTGCAATAATTAACTCAAAATGAATCATATATCTAAATGTAAAACCACTACACAATTTCTAAAAGATAACACAGGTGAAAATCTAGATGAACTTTCATTTGATGATGACTCTTTCAATACAATACTAAAGGCATTATCTATGGAAGACAAAATGGTTAAACTGAATTTCATATAAAATTAAAATTTTCTGTCCTGCAAAATGTATTGTCAAGACATTAAAATACAGACCATCAGTAGTAAGAAGATACTTGACAAAAGGTTTTATCAAAAATATACAGTGAGCCAGGTATGCTGGCTCACACTTGTAATCCTAACTATACAGGAGACAAAGAATAGGTGAAATCATGGTTTGAGGCCAGCCCAGGCACAAAAGTGAGACCCTGTTCACAAAATAGGGAGACAGTTTGGCAGTTTCTTACCAAATTAAACATACTTTAAAAATATGCTAGAGTTTCAATTTTCCTCCAAATGTTCATGGGCTGGAAGTTTGGCCCCAAGTACGGTAATGTTGAGGTGGTAAAACCTTTAAGGGGTAGGGCCTGGTAAGAGGTAAGTTAGTGATGAAATTAGTATGGAAGAATGGGTAATTTCTTCCCAAGAGCAAGTTGTTATAAATACAGGCTGCTACACTTGCTTGTTCTCCTCTGCATATGACCATGTTCCTCTCCACTAGTCAACAATATTGTCATGCAGCCAAAGTGACTGTCATCAGAATGCCAATGCCTGCTGTTTGGAACCTCCAGGCACCAGAAATTTAATCCTTATAAAAACTATTTCCTTTATAAGTTTCCAAGACTCGGGTATTTTGTTCTACCAGCACAAAATAAACTAAACTCCCATACAATCCTGCAATTGTGCTTTCTCAAATGAGTTGAAAATTTATAGCCACCCAAAACCCAAACACAGATTTTTATAGCAAGTATATTGACAACTGCCAAAGTAGAGATGCAATCAAGATATCCTTCTATAGATGAAAGCATAAGAAAACTGTGATATTTTCAGACAACAGAATATTTTCCAATGCTAGAGAAATAAGTTACCAAGCTATGAAAACAAATGGAACAAGCAATGTATATTAAGGGGAAGAAACTTACCTAAAAGGTCAAATGTATAATTCCAATTATATGACTTTCTGGAACAAGAAAACTAGGGAGACCATAAAATAACAACAGTTTCCAGGAGACCAAAGAGGAGGGAAGAAAAACAGACAAAGCAAGGAGGATTTTTAGGCAGTGAAATACTTCATATGACACTGTAGTGGTGAATTCATGTTAATGTATATTTCTCCAAACCTACAATATATTCAACAAGACCAGTGAATCTTAATATAAATGAACTTATGGACTTTGGATGATATTGGAATGTCACCAGAAGTTCATCAATTGTCACAAATGTAACACTCTAGCTGGGGAAGGTGATAATAGGAAAACTGTATGTGAAGGGCAAGAGGAGTATGCAATGTATCTATATCTTCCTCTCAATTTTTCTAGGAACATAAAACTACTCTAAAAGCAAAGTTTATTTTAAAATCTTTATTAGTAAATTAAAAATAATACTATATTTCAACATAAACATACATCATGAAAAATAGCAATGTTTTCCAAAAATAAAAGGAATAGTGGGAAAAAAGAATGGTTTCAAAAGTAGTTTGAAGCTTGGGCTTCATTGAATTTCTAAATTCAATGCCCTTTAACCTATCCTAAGTTGTCACTCTTTAAGCTCTCAATTTCTTTTTGGCATCCTCTTCTGAGACTCCAGAGGGAAGTGGTTGAAGGGAAAAATGTTTCATCCTCTGAGAAGTAGGCTAAGAAAATGTACCAGAGAGATACAGGAATACTGTGGCAGCATCAGCTTCTAGGTAGGCCCACGGAGGGAACCTCAGCTAGTGCACACATAGCTGCTCTTCCACACTGAGGTTAAATATAATTATCCTGGAAGATCCTCAATGTAGAATGTATCTGACCTCGCCAGATTTTAAATACAATTAAATTGAAAGCATGATGTGACAGAATATTATATCTTAAGGTCCTCAAAATCAACACTGATGACTCTAGGACCCTTTGTTGTACCATGAGTCTAGTGGGGCAGAGAATTTAATATTAGCTTGATCAGTTGTGCATTTACAACACTGGTCTTCTCTCAGATCCACAAGTGACTCACCCCAAGGACTTTGGGCTCCCCTTTCAAGAACTTCTTTGTCATTCCTTTCCATAGATATGAGTGCACAGCAACAGGTTGCCCCAGCTGTTGCACACCAGTGACAGCCTCCAGTGTTTTCGGTTCCATCCCTTGCATGGCTGCCATGGCAATAGAAACAGTGCGAGAATAAGAAAAACAATTAAGAACAGGTCCTGGAAATGACTAAAGAGAAACATGATGCTGTGAGGCCAGTTCCTCCTTCAGGACCAATTCTGGAATACATTCCCCTCCTATGTTACAATAGCTATTTGAAGCCAGGAAAGTCTGAGAAGCAATTCATTTCTAGAAAGATGAAGGAATGGAGAGAGGGAATAGTGAGGAGAGATAGGAGCAGAGAGAGAGAGAGTAAATGGTGACAACAAAATATAAATCATTCAAGGAAGCATAAAATTCTAAAGTTCTTCTAAGTAAAAGAATTTAAGTTGTTACCAACTTAAAATAGTCAGTTATAACTCTTAAGATATATTATGCAAGCCCCGTGGTAACAGAAAAGAAATGTATTACAGCAGATACAAAAATAATACATAGGAAGAAGAAAAGCTTAGTTCTACTAAGGGATGAGGATATATCTCAATGATAAAGGACTTGCCTAACATATATGAGAAATATATGTTTTCCTTAGAGGAAGGAAAGAAGAAGAAAAGAAGGTAGAAGGAAAGGAGTGAGGCAGGAAGGAGGGAGGGAGGGAAGCCAAAGAAAGAAAGAAAAGAAAAGAAAAAATTTACCAAATCAGAGGCAACAACAAGAGAAGAAACAAAAAAGCAACTTATGAAATAACCAGAAAACAATTTTAAAATTCTTTAGCAAACCCGTACCTATCAGTTATAAACATGATACAAATAGACTGAATTCTCTAATCAAAAGACACAGTTGCTGAATAAATAAAATAGCATGATCTCTATGCTGCTTACAAGCAATCTACTTTAGCTTTAAGGACACACATAGGTTGAAAGTGAAAGGAAGGAAGAAGATATTCCATGTAAATGTAATCCAAGAGAACATGGTTGGCAGTACTTTTATCAGATAAAATAAACCTTAAGTAAAAAATTGTCACAGAGACAAAGTTATTATTTAGTGATAATATTGTCTCAAAACAGAGCAAAGCCCCAAATGCAAGAGTGAAAACTACAAAAGTATTAGAAAAAAATTGAACTTAGCCTTCATACCTTGGATTAGGCAATGGTTTCATAGATATAACAACAAGAACTCAAGCAAAGAAAAAAAGTCATATTGGGTATCATAAAAGTGAACACTTTGCTGCATCAAAAGATACCATGAAAAAAATTGAAAAGACAGCCTATAAGGCTGGTAAGAGTGGCTCAAGCAGTAAGAATGCCTGTCAAACAAGTGTGAAGCCCTGATTTCAAATTCCAGTACTGCCCAAAAAAAGACAGCATATAGATTCGGGGAAAATACTTGCAAATATGGTCTCTATTAAAGAATTCAAGTGAAAAATAAAAATAACTCAATTTTAAAATGGATAAAATATGAATAGATATTCTTCCACAAAATACACAGAAGGATAAGTACATGAAAAGATGTTTGGCATCATTTGTAACTTTTAAAAATGCAAATCAAACCACAATGAGATACTACCTTATTGCCCACCAGAATGAAAGAAACAAACAAAAAATAATAATAATAGGAAGTGGTGAGTAGAGAAATTAGAACTCTACAACATGGATGTTCGGATTAAGAATTGGTGTAACCACTTTGAAAAAATATGGCAGATCCTAAAAATTCCAAAGACAGGCCTACTATATGATCCTCAGTATATTCTAAATATATACATGAGATAAATTAGGACATATATTCACACAAAATACCGTACATGAATTTTCACAGCACTGTTAGCCATATTAGACCAAAGGTGGAAACACCTCAGAGATAACCATCAGCTGATGAAGGGATATGTGCAAACAAAATAGTTCTTCTGTTCACCTGACTAGTACAGTTAATCTTTTTTTTTCTTTTATTATTCGTATGTACATACAAGGCTTGGGTCATTTCTTTCTCCCCACTGCCTTCACCTCCTCCCTTGCCACCCACTCCACCCTCTCCCTCTCCTCCCCACCCCCTCAATACCCAGCAGAAACTATTTTGCCCTTATTTCTAATTTGGTTGTAGAGAGAGTATAAGCAATAATAGGAAGGAACAAGGGTTTTTGCTGGTTGAGATAAGGATAGCTATACAGGGCATTGACTCACATTGATTTCCTGTGCGTGTGTGTTAATCTTAAACAAAGAGGTTCTGGAAATACAGCACATGTTTTCAAATTCCACCTCTGCCACTCTTCACTCAAGTAACTCAATCTACTGGTTATGGAGTGGTGAGTAACACTGCTACCTCTGGTGAGAATTTATTGATGAGATAATCCATGTAAAACATTCAAGCCAGTGCATGTCACATAATTTATGCCAAATCTATTAGATATTATTGTTTTTGTTCCTATCTTTACTCACTTTCAGGATTTCAGTATAAAATATCATCTTCTAACACAACATGTCACTCCAGACATAGTAACAAGGGATATTATTCCTGCCATGCTCCTTCTCCAACTTCTTCCTGTCTCTGGGGAGGTGAAGAAGCCCAGATGAGGGGCTATATTATTGGTCACAGCATGCTATGCATGATGCCATGTGAGCAGTGCTTAGCTCTCTTATTTTTCATTTGTTTCTAAGGCTACCAGAAGATTCAAGATTGTCCACTCATGGAATAAACTAAATACAAGACTATGAAGAGCTGGGCCAAGAACACCTCATCTTAATCTTGCAGTCTCTGTAAAGATAAAAGGGCCTGTGAGATGAGTTACATATTACAGGCTGTGGCATAGGTATATTCAGAACTATCTGTAGGCTTGAATGTAACCTGAACTGAACATAAAATCTAGAAGTTGAGAGGACAGATAGAATAAAACAAGAAGCTTCTTCTGGGTCTTAAATTTTGTCTATACCCTGTAATGCAATTATATTGGAAAAACAGAACATCCATGAACTTAATTTAAGTAATCATAATAAGTCTTATAATTTGTCATCTAGCAACTTGTCCCAGGGGAAAAGGATAATTTACCTTTCAAATATTAGAAGACTTAAATGGAAGATATGCAGTCTTACTCAAGTTTTCCCTTTAAAAAAAAGAAGTATGGTGCAAGGAAAATTATGTGAAAGAGGTTATTTCAGAGTCCCACAGGTTTTCCCAAAGATAGAGAGTAAGAGTTAGATAGAACCATGAAAGGCCTGTGGACCTTCATGGAAGGCCCAAAAATGAATTCAGTTGTCCATGGCAGAAACCTGATACTTTTCCATCAGTATTTCGGTTGGGTCAAATCTATCATGTCTTCTGATTTTGAACAACCATTTTTCAACTCTGTATATTCCTCCTACCTTATTAAAAGAAGTTACCATCCTATTTTATACCCTCTCAACATTCCCTCATGTTCATGTGTGGTCTTGCATATCTAATCTATCCTCCAATTGATGCCCAGTGGGGATCATGTTAAAATGCAAAAATGGTTATACCTTTTCTTATCTCTTGATAAGAGAAACTCTTGTGTATCAGCACACATGATTTGTTCTAACCATATCTTGATTCTTTTCTTAATTTTTGAAATCCAAGTATGTTGTACTTATTTTAGTTTTGGCAAACCAGCAATTTTATTCCTATATTGGAACATCTATAAATGTTCATCCCAATTGCAGGAATTTTCCATAACTTTTGTGTCTGCTCAGCATCAACAAAAAATCCACCCCATCATTTTATTTTCTCACACACTAATAGTATTTCATAACCTCTGCCTTTTCTCAACTCCATATTACACATAGATTACTCCATATTACACATAGATTACTCAAACAATGATGGTAAGGAAGGGTTTAAGAAATCTCTATTATTTCATACCATAGAAGCCAAATAGTGTTATAAAGGGAACTAAAGGTAATATTTTTAGTCCAATTGAATGTATACTTTAGTTTACTCACTTTTTGAAAAAGAGCCTCTGCCTTGATCTCTCAAATATACTTTCAGACCAAAAATTTAGGAAATGTGGGCTCTACCTTATTTCAACCAAGTGAATCCCTAAATAAATCTTTGGGAGGTCACACAGCTGAGCAATATATTATTAGTCCCTCTGTAGCTTTGCTATACATGAAACCTCTGGCTGTAACTACCTAACAGGCCCAAAACTGTTCTCCAGTGGATATAGTCTAGCCCTACATTCCCCAGTTGTTTGATGAAAGATGATTTTGTATCCTAATAATTTACTACAAGGTTAGCTATTCCTGGGAAAAGTAAGAAAAAAGATATGATCACAAAACTTTCTAACCAGGAAACTTTCTTTACATTTATGAACCCAGCACATCTGGTAATAGTGCTGGGTCTAGAGACCTAAGGCAGATGAGTGAGTATCCCATCCCCTATAGAGGGCAATATCATTTCTACATCCTGAGGAGATGGAGGCCTGCATTCCTGCATCCTCAAGGAGAGATACAGATCTGCCACAGGGCTGATGAGCAAAATGCTCTCAAGATTGTTCCCCTCCCCCAATAAAGGTGCTAACCGAACCAGTTCACCTGAGAAAGCCTGCAAATCCATGGCCAATGAGAAAACCCCCCAACCACAGTTAAAACGTCCATAAAAACCCCAGCCTTCACCTATGCAGCAAGTCACTGGCTTCCGGGCTCTGCTGCAGTTCCCTAACTTAGCCTTTGGCTCATCATTCAGCTGCCTCACGAGCCAGTCTCTGGCCTGTGAAGGCAAGGACTCTCAACACCAGCACATAACATTTTGGTGACACACAAAGGGACCCAATCTCTTCTGAACCAAGGTTGGTATAGGTTGTGCCAAACTGGGAAAGGCTGCCTAGGAATGTGACTGTGAGCATCCGGCATGCCGGTGGAGTCTGTTTTCCAGGAGAGACCCCCCCACCACGGCCCAGCTATGGTGGAACTCTCAGGCTGACCCTCTCTCTCTCTGGTTAGGGAGGATTTCTCCCTTGGGAAACAGGAAAAGCTCCAAGCCCACTACAGCTGTACGGCAGGCAATCTGAGGAAACTCAGAGGCCAGGCGGGGATTTATACCACACTGCCAATGCTACGTGGGCAGAACCC